GAGGGGGCCAGGTTCTGGCTTGTGGTCCCTTTAGGCCAGTAGAACTCAGCGACTGATGACACCTACTATTATGGCACTTGATCAATGTGATAACTTCAGTGAGCTGACAGGGCTCCTCTCAGAAATAAATTATCTTTTTTTTTTATATTATTAATGTGCTCCCTTATCATGGGAGAAAAATTATGTAGCTTTGGCTGTGGTGGAGAGATGAAATCTCACAATGACGTCTCAATTCACGAGTGTTCATGGAACAAACTTCCTGAGGTCGTCATCCGAGCAACTCCACACTTGCACATGGCAACATGGCAAGTGGGAAGTTGCTGCTAATATATTTACAGTATACCTATTCACTTAAGTGTCATTGTTTTGTGTTTTTTGTTTTTTTTGCCATTATATTATGCAACAGTTTGTAATTTGAGAAATTTCTATAATAATCACGTGGAACATTAATACTACAGTATACACAAATACATTCATGTCATTAATATGTGCACAATATTATATTCTTATTATCACACTATAATCACATGTCATATATAACTACATTATATCTACATGTTTATTCACTATTATGAACCACTAAGCATTTTTGGTGAGTAATAATCTCCTAACCATTGATCCAAACTCAGTAAAGTTGTAAGTTGACATATTGGAGTTACTTGATTTTTTCATATTTTTAATGTTTTAATATGGTTTTTTCAAGTGCAATGATTCATTGGGCTGTTAACAATGTTATTTGTATCGCAAAACATGTAGAACATTGGTATGCATAGATATTCATGTAACTATTATGTGTACAACAATATAATACAGTATTAGAGCAATTGAACATGCTGATTTTGCAGTTATCTCAGTGTATTCACATGCTATATAAAACTATATACTGTGCATGTTTATGCACTTTTGCAGACCACTAAGCATTTCTGGTGTGTGTGATAATCTTGTAACCATTGATCCCAGCAAAGCATAAAACACCCTCATCAGTTGCCAAACATTACCAGATGAAGCAGTACGTTGCCCAATAAAGTAGGCTAACACGCGCATTGCCGCGAATATATTTTTGTTCATTTTTTGCGCACAGTTCCAAATACATTTTCTTTGTTTTTACGTGCCAGTCCTATGAATAATAAACACGTACACTATATTATGGCAGTAGAACATCCGTACTGTCCCTAGACACTGTGTTACGTGCATCACAAAAGTGTTCACATATCCTGCACATATTTCCAATGTATCATGGTAATATATTTATATTTACAGTTTATATACACACACTATACAGTATCACACACTATATACACACACCATAAACACTCAGTACTCCTCGAGTGTGTGATATGCAGCAAAACAGCCAACGGGGAAGAGTGGCACCTTGCATTCCATGCACCAGGTGCTGATGCATCTTCGCTTTTGTTCTCTGCGGGTAGTGTTCCTGCATACTATACACGCATGTTTACCCTTCTCCCGTGATGCAGTGCCTGGCATATACTCGAGCATGTGTACTCTGAAGTTCTCGTTACCCCTCAGTCTGTTTGGAGCTGCGTGTGGCATTGTTGCTTGCACCCTGCACAGTGCAATGGAGCCCTCCTTGCCATACTTTACAAGCAGCTGTGACACAACACCTGCACTGAATGTACATATTGAAGGTTTTCTGCCAGATTTTAGCAGGTACATAATGAAGCAGTTGAGCACAGCAACATCTATTAGGTGGAAGAAGAACTTTTTCGTCCACCTCACAGACTTGTGCACTTACTCCACTCCACCAAGCATCATGTCACATTTATCGACGAGGCGCATGTTCTTGTTATAGTCTATGACACAGTTTGGTTTATACATGGGAAAGCGTGTCTGAAAGTGGACTTTACCACTGTCCAACATGGCACCGGTGTGAATCGTAGTCGGCATATTCACCTCGCGTCTGTCCTTCCACCACACTGACAGCATATTGTCACACTTGTGCAGTTGGCAATCACTCACTGCTATACCAATACCGAACGCTGGCATTTCCTTCTTGTGGGCCTTCACAGTGCCACATACGCCGGTGTTGTGGGCAAGAAGATATCGGATCAGCAAGGGGCTGGTGTAATAGTTGTCGGTGTACAGTATATGCCCCTTGTTCAGCAACGGTTCCATCAGGGTTTTTACAACACTGCTGGAGAACCCATGTTCATCTTGAGCTGCTATGTCGACGTCTGTACAAGAATACAATATCATATCCAACACCATACCAGTCTCACAGTCGCACAACATGAAAAACTTCAGTCCAAAACGGTGCCGCTTTGATGGGATGTACCGCTTGAATGCCAGTCTCTCCTTGAACAGTACTAGTGATTCATCAATAACCACATTCTGACCAGATACAAAATAATCCCTGAACTTCCCTTTCATGTCACTGAACATCTTCCGTACCTCCCACAGTCTGTCGTTTCTGTCCTCATTTGCATTATTCTCGAAATGCAGGCACCTGAGAATCAAGAGGACCCTATCACATTATATATACCGGTTGAACATGGGCAATGGAACTAGCTGTCTATGCTCCAATAATCCTGAACGACAGCTTTCTCAAAGTGCTTCATCATCATGCTGAGTGCCAGATGCACGTACATTTCGTCAACTGCCGTGTCCTTCCATTGCGTGAGACGTGAGGCAGGTAAAATGCCGGCGTTTATGAGGCTGTAAGTGAACTTGTTTGTCTCTGTCACAAGATGCATCATGAATTCATTGTCGAAATATGCCTTGAAATATTCCATGTCTGCCATATCATCACCGGTATATGGGAATAATGGTGTAACACCAAAATCGCTAGCATCAAACGTTGGTATGTGAGGGACAAATGTGGCACAATCCTTCCACACAAGTACACCTGGGGGTTTGGTATTGGCGCAAACACCACGGCAAACGCCACCACGAGCACCAAAAACACGGCTAGGTCGTCTGCTGCTTGAGCTCTGTGAGGGTATGCTTGGCGATGAGGCAGATTTCCATACCATAGGCCTACTATGAATACCTGATGTTGAGGGGCCACTGTCGTCATTGTCCCGCTGATGTGAGACACGCTGCCGCCTGCCGCGACGTGTTGCTGAGGCAGCAAACCCCCACCTGGTAACACCCTCGCTGCTCGTACTCGGGTCGTCCACACTACTCGTATCGGAGTTTATGTCACTGAAGTCCGAGAACGATTCATCGTATATACTGTCACTAAATAAACTTGCGTCTGGGGACATACATGGTGGTGGCAGTGATAATAACGGTATTGACCAAGGGCAACGAGGCAGGCCGGGCGAGGTGCGTGTATCGTACACGCTAGCCACATCATGCACCTCAGTCTCTCCCTCACTTGTATCAGACCTCTGTGTAAGGTCATTCTCTGGATCATAGTGTCTAGGTCATCATCCGTAGCACCGTCATCATACAAAATGTCGCGTATCTCCTCAGAGAGTCGTTTTCCATGACTGCGGGTCACCGTGGAGCAGGAGCTCGTAGACGATGCGTCAGAAGTGGTGGCTGCTTTGAAACTGAGGCTCCCCATGGTCACGGGGCATGCTGGGAATTTTTTTCAAGATAGCAGATGATCACTGGGGCCCCAAGGTATCCATTTCGTACCCGGGTCACCGCGCTCCAGTTTTGAATGTAACATGAAAAATACAAATACCCGGGGGCGCGTTGCGCAAACCAGACGCGGACCTGCAGGTGCGTTGCACAGTTCAGGGGTTCAGCAAGGTGGCTCTGTACTAGTTGATGTAAGAGACAACCTCCACCCCTCTTCCTTCACTTTTACCTTATCTTGTACATGATTGAAAAAAGTTGGCATTTATTTATTCATTTATTTATTTTTTAATTTTGTTTTTATATGTTAAGGCATAGTTTCAACTCATGAAAAATTGGTTAACATATATATTGGCCAAATTTAAACTCCTCTAATTATCTTTTTGCCATTTTATTAAACCATTTGCATGAAAAACTGTGAAACGTTGTCTGTCATAATGGCTTGCACTTATATTGTGTCTTTCTCTTCAGTGTCATTGTGGTTATCATATTTAGTTAGCAAATTGATGTTTTAAATTTTGAGTGTCCACTGAGAGGACAGTGTTTGCACATATTTCAGTGTAAACTAGTTCACACATCACTTAGGGAAACATCACTTTGTATTAACTTACCTAAGAGCCTGTGAATGTGTTGGTTTTAAACCTCATTATAACTTTAACTTCACTGGGCAAACTACTCTACTATTTTTGGTGGCTTAGTACATAACAAAACATTAACATTCAATGTACCCTACATACCTGAAGCCCTGATAGTAGGCTCGCTTAACATTTAATATAAGTATTGTTTTGTCTCAAGATTTAAGCAGCAGCTCATATTACAATGCATTGCATATACATTACATAGCTCTTTTTACCATATGTAACCGAATTATTACTTTCCTTAATTTTTTTAATTCATATGGCTCGTGAAAGACAATGCTGTGGGTTTGCTTAATAAAAGCAGCAAACTAAGAAGTAATGCTTGTAGTAATAGTAGCACTCTTCAGTATTAGAATATTCAATTTTAATTATGGTTGTAGTGCAAAAGGAAAGATGTGTGATCTATCTGAGATGAAGGTTGTTCTTGTCTATGTATGATGGAATGAGTTTGTACAGTATTTCTTTTCATTTTTTTTAAGTTGATTTGCTTTTTAACAAATGTACTTCAGAATTTTGAGTCAATTCAACAATTGATTCAGAAGATTAAATACGTTGGGACATATGTAATGGGCAACATGGAAATTACAATGTCCATAATTTTGAAATCTTCAATGGTGTCAGTAGTATTCATTTACAAATGAAAGTGAATGTTAGATAAATACATTTCTTAGGTATTTAGGGTTTTCATGCCAAGATGATGCACACAAAGATAATAGTTGCCAAACTCATTATATTTATATCATTGTTTTACATTGCGAGAAAAAGACTACAGCCATATCTCGGAAACTGTACAGTAGATTTTTCTGAAATTTTCAGGGATGAGGGACTTTGGTACCTAGATGATGTACGGTAAGTGAATATTTGCTCCAATCTCTTACAATTTTTTGCAAATTGTTTAGTAAATATATGAGTAAGTGAAATTCTAAAGAGATACTGAGAGAGAGAGAGAGAAAGAGAGAGAGAGAGAGAGAGAGAGAGAGAGAGAGAGAGAGAGAGAGAGAGAGAGAGAGAGAGAGAGAGAGAGAGAGAGAGTGTAACTACCTAAGTGTAATTACTCAAGTGTAGTTAGAGGATGAGAGCTACACTGCGGTGTCCTGTCTTCCTAGTACTCTTTGTCACATGACTTAGAAACTACTGACAGGGTTTGACATTCACCGCCTGCTCACTTAACTTGTTCCAACGGTCTATCACTTTCCTTGCAAAAGAGAACATTAAAATATTTTTTTGGGGGGTGGGGGGGGGACCTTTGTTTCCTTAGCTTGATGTAAGGGCATGTGCTTGAAAGCCGTTCCCTAGAGTATAGATTAACAAAACTTGTTTTTACTTTCTTATAAATAATGGAAGGGATGTATATACTGTATAATCATCAAAGTACTGAAGCTGAAACCAAGTAATCTTATTCCGAGTTGGACAATAAGTACACCTTGGGGTACAATTTCACAAATGGGTTTATTGAACAACACCGGATTAATTTAAACTGACTAACTATGGGTCACACAGTTATGTTACAGGATTGCTGTGACTAAGAAGGATGTTTTTCAACAAGTTCACAAACATTAGGAGTGAATTGACTATTGGATCCCCACAAACTGGAACTTAAGGTCGTCACATTACTCTACACTTACTTGGTAAAATACAAATGTAGTATGGGCTTTTACAATACAAAGTCCTGGCACTTTGATGCTTTACAAATGGGAACTAAGGTGGATAGAGCATAGACCACGTGTTACAGAAATCTCCTAATTGAGTGAATGAACCAAAATACCATAAGCCAACACTTACACACTGGGTTCTACAAACACTGAAATTTACAGAGCCTAAACTAATACAAAAAGAAGTACCACTATAGTAAATAAGAGATACAATGCACTTATTGTAGACAACCCGCCAGTATAGGCGACGACTTCACCTTCAAACCACTCCAAACAAAGTCAACAAGGTGCTAGCACATCTGTATCCAACCACCTGGTTCAAATAATGTTTCATATACACTAGTATCCTCAAATAGTTCATCTATATGTCTTATAAAGTTCCAGGCTGTTTTTCAGCATTTAACACTGCTTCTATATATTTTTCAGCACTGAATATACTTTTTAAACATGTATTTTCTTTGCTGTTTACACTGTTCTGGGAGGACACTTTCCTGCTATAACAATGCTCTACGCATGTGCAGAACTGACTAGTGTACTGGCAGGGATTCTGAATTCGAGTTAAACAAGAGTTCCAGACTTTTTTTTGTAACATTTAACATTGCTGTTTCTGTGTATTTTCAATCATAATTCAAATTCAAGAGTTAAACATACTGTGTTAAACACTTCACAAGAGTCTCTCTCTCTTACTTTGAATCTATGACATCGTGTTTTTGAAGTTGCAGGTTTAAAAAATTCCTCTAAATTTTGTCTATTCCTGTTACAGTATTGTTTTATATGTAGTTATCATATCACCTCTTTTTCCCTCTATCATCTGACTTTGGGATATTTAACAGCTCTAACCTCACCTTGTAGCTTATGTGTTACAGTTCCGGAAGCCATTTAGTAACATATCTTAGCACCTTTTCCAGTTTGTTGATGTGCTTCTTGAGATACGGACAACATACAATCGCTGTATATTCCAGTTTGGATATCAAAAGTTATGACCAACTTCTTTAGTATTTCCCCCCATCACTTACAGGTGAACCTCCTTTAACTTCGCCTCTGTTAATGTCATTTCGTTTTTAAGACGATAAAAAATAAATAAATAAATAAATTTAACATAAGATAGGCAGTCCTGTTTTTTAAGTTTCCCAACATAGGCTAAGACAGCAATGATGTGCAAGCCCATAGCACTTAAAGAAAACAGAGTACAGTATATGAGAGCTAACTTTAAATATTGTTAGTGAACACTGAATTTATATTGTACTAAAGTTGAAGTTTTTTGTTTACTGAAAAGAATGACATAAAATACAGTACTGTATACATAATAATTATACTGTACTGTATTATATAATACAGTACACTCATGTGGCTTTGTTAACAAATTATCAAGGAAATTTAGTTTCTGCTAAAAGAAATACATCTCGCAAGCTAATCATAGACATAAACAATGTGTATGAATTCCAAGCTTGATATTATTAGTTAAAAAAATCTCTTTAACGAGACCATATGTCGGGTAAATGGTCGATAACAGGTAGCATACAACAGTAATCGTATTGAATGGCCCAAGAAATAAAGGAAGACAATATGTATTGTTAGAAAATTAGGTGAAAATTCTAAGTAGCTATGACAAGGTTTAGTGAGCAAAAATTGACCAATTATCATGTTTGTTAGTACCTTAAGAATGTACTTATAATACTAGGCCCATGAGATTTTTAGTTTCACTTACCATCATTTCAATTATCCACTTAACTGCGCCAACCGAGAAAACTTTTTTTTTTTTTTCGGTACCAGTTCTAAATGTGTACGAGGTTGGTTGTGTACGAAATGGACTCTTAGGACCTGCCTCTGACTGGACTCTTAAGACCTCCAGTCAGAGGCAGCCATCTTGGAAAAAATTCCCAGAATGCCCTAGGGCTGCTGGCTGGGTTAGTATTGAATGAGCAACCATGGATGGCGCACGCGCCTCTGGCTCCCAAACACCTGTCCAACGCGGTGTTGAAAGATAACGCTCTGTCGGTGAAATTCAAACGATATTGTTTGAATAACATAAGGGTCATAATATTGGTCAAGCTAGGCGCAATAAGGACCTAACACAAAGGTCGGAGGTAAGTGATACAGCACCTATGAGGACGATACAGCGGGCGTATCCAGTTGTAGCTCTGAGTGTCACCCTTGCAATCCTATGCTATCTACAATTTATTTAGATGATACGTACTGTAGATGAATCGTTTTCTGCAGTGATGATGCATCTGATACAAATAGCATAGATGAACAGTGTTAGCGGCTTCCATTGTGGTGTTTTCCATAGATATTTTCAAAAATACCTGAATCTATTCCTAACTGACGGACACTCTTGAGGCTAGCTGAATCTCTTTCTGACTGACGGACACTCTTGAGGTAAGCTGAATCTCTTCCTATGTGGGACCATACAAAGTGATCTTTTCAAGACATACCTTACAAATTGATCTTTTCCTATAATCTTTTCAATACTATCTTATGCTTTACAAGCTTGGCTACATACAACCAACAAGTACTAAAGCCAAGGGTGTACGTGAGTGCATTATTTGCAAGCACACACTATGAAGAAACAGGAAGCGAAAATTTATCTATACCTGGTGCACTGAGAGCGAAGTCGCGCTGTGTACCATGGGCTACTTCATTGATTATTACTCACTTCCGAAGTACTGAGTGTGTAATACAGTGTGTTACTGTGTAAATAGTGTGTGAAACTGTACATATTGTAATTTTAGTGAAATTTTAACAGGTAATATTGCGACAATAAACAATAAGGCGCACTTTTTAAAATGAGTCCCATAATAATAGCACAATAAATAGAATTTTAATAAATATATTAAAATTTAAAATTTAGACCAAAAAAACGTTTTTATAATTTTTCAAGTGTTCTTACATCAAATTTCGTGTTTACATCTTTCATTTTGGTATCAATTTTACATTTGCTACATTATTTTACATTTGCTACTCCCTTTGCATAATTTCTTTCAGCCTCTCTTTTTGACTGCTATGTAATTGTTTCTTGCGCGTTATCATTGCTGGTATGTTTGAGGGTTTGATCTTCTTATATTGATTCCACTTTTTTGTCTTTTGTTCTTTGGCCATCTCACAATTTATGTTTTATGTTGAACTAATCCTGTTTTCTAGTTCTGTACCTGTCTTGGTGTAACGAATGGGGAATCTAGAGAAAGGGAGCGTATGGGGAAAGTGGAAGGGGGAAGAGGGAAGTTGGAGAACTGAGGAGAGGTGATAGAAGTTGAGATGAGGTGGAAGGGACTGAAGTAAAGGGGAATGGAGGCAGTAAGACTGAAGTAAAGAGGAATGGAGGAGGTAAGACTGAAGTAAAGAGGAAGGGAGGAGGTAAGACTGAAGTAAAGAGAAATGGAGGAAGTAAGACTGAAGTAAATAGAAAAAAATTATAAGAAAGAGGGATAGATGAAAATGATGGATTAGGTAAGAAAGAGGGGAAAGATGCTGCCACCATCCTGACATATGGATACACTTTATACACTTAACTAAAGGTGGACAGGAAACACCCTCACTAGGAACTGAATATATAACTTACAACATGTATGAGTGAATGGTACGGGACACTGCCATATGGTAGGTGGTGGTACACCACACTTCACCACTCTTGAGTCCTAATGCCCTTCACTGTATGGTTATACCCTCTAGACTATGCTATGAAATCAAGTGTTCCCCAAAAAATTCATTTTTGTTTGTAAAATGATAAATTCCCTTCCATGAACATGTCTCTGTAAAAATAAATATCAAATTCCACTTACTTTGGCTGGGGCATATGGACAAGGTGTGCTGTGAAGTCATCACGGGCTGTCGCCCGTGCGTGAAGCTCCCAGAGGCGGTTGCGCAGGCCATTCAAGCACCACGAGTTACCACAAATATATTTTCTATTATTATGCCACAAATATTATTTTCTATTCTATTATAAACTGCACTATGTATTTCCAATGCAGTTTTATTTTTTGTTAACGTATATGATGCATATTTGTGTCCTTTACAATATGTATACAATAAAACGTTCATAATGTCCCATGGAACTGTGATACGTGTTTCAATAATGTGTCCACAATAAATGTTTATTGTCGCAATATTACTTATTAAAAATTCACTAAAATTACAATATGTACAGTTTCACACACTGTTTACACAGTAACACTGTATTACATGCTCAGTACTTTAGAA